AGAGCTCAATGCTGGCAACTTCAACACAGGGAAGATGCCATGGCAGGAAAGGCTGCTACCCAGAAAGGTTGTTGGAACTGTGGAGAGCGTTGGGTCTCCCATTGGGTATAGAACCCCTTTTATTATTGATTCACTCTTGTGTTTTGTTTGTTTATTGCCATACAGTTGTACTTTCTCCAATCAGAGAAATTCAGTGAAATAAAAAACATATAAATTAGCTAAGTTGTTTGTTTGTAATTGAGCGCAACACTGCACAATGGGATATCTGTGTTGGGTCTCCCATTGGGTATCAAAACCCAGTTTTTTAGCATTATAAGCCTTTAGACTCACTTTTGTGCTACAGAGGGGCTTACACTATAGTTAGTTAATACAGGGCTGTACTCGCTGATGGTGTGTTACCAGCAGGCTTTACAAGACCATCAAAAAGGTGTGAGGAAATTGGTAAAACAAAATAGGGGTTTGTTATAAACACTGCATGCCTTACCTGGAAGGGTGAAGGGAGCTGCCTTATAAACAGGAAAATAGAGACTACCAAAGTCAAACTTTACACGAGGATTATCAACAGCCCAAGCAAATCTTACTGGCTTTGGAGGTTTGATACAGCTTGCCAATGTAACCTCTCCATATAATTGTAACCTAAAAAAGTTTAGAACCTATGATAGTCGTGATTATGTAATTATAAACAACTACTTTCCAATCTTTAAAATATACATCTATTAAAAATCGTACAAATATAGATATATATATATATATATAACTTTAAATCGCTAATAATATAAAAGCTAGTTATTTGCAAAGATTTCCATATTAATAGGCCATTAGGCTTATTAAAATATTCTCAATGATGACAGTTTTTAATAACTGTTCTTCTACTCAATTAAATAATAAACATCTAAATGTAAAGAAACAACTAGCCTCATTTTAACTTCATAGTTGTATAGGTATTAATATATAGTATTCAACACCTCTTACCATTTAATATTGCAAACAGTCAGTTGTGTGTTATTAATGTCAAATTAATTTATTTTTTGTTAAATAAAAATAAGTATTTTCTATAATTTGGCTTTGTTATATTAATTCCATATGGTGTTTAAACATTTATGCCTTGAATTAAACATTTTAATGTGTAGAATGTAGAATTATAAATCTTATGGTTAAACAGAGTAACTCTCATATTATTAAATACTTTATAATACATTCTTTTCAGGCACATTGTGTTACTATATTATGAGTAAGAAACACAAACAATATTTTTTTGGCACGATTAAAAATAAAACCTTAGAAATTTTAGCCTACTAGCTTTCATAATACAGCTACCATCACTAGTCCTAGGGCAGTCACTAGCTCCAATTGGTAGCTGTGTTGCCAAAACTAGTCAACTGAAATTTCTAATTTAGATTCTATCTTTCATAGTGCCAAAAAAAATTGTATTTTTGTTTATTACTATTAAGTTATTAAATTTTCTAGTTTTTATGGTTTTTCGGCAAAGGTTTACAGAGTTTCAATTATTCTTTAAAATGTTTACTGAAATTTAACATTGTAGGAATTATTATTATTCCTGCTGCACAGCAAACAATTTTTAATAAATACTGACAGCTTATCAATAAATTGTTTTAATATAATTAGAATATTTCTTAGGTTAAATTTGTTTGAACACTAGTTCAAAATACCTGTAACATGGCAAGTTTCATCTCCACTGATCAAATGAAATAATAAATAAAAAGATACACCAGTTACGTTTATAACAATTATTTTTTTTTAAATGATCATTATAATTTTTAAAACAAGAGTTCATATAGTGGATATAAAAATATTCAACAGATGCTAATGCACGTGAACAAACTTGCTGATTTCTGAACCAACTTACTCCTCGTTTACACTAACACTGTTGTCAGAGAACAATAAACTGGTGTACAAGGAAACAACTGGAGCATCATATGGAACTCTTGTCACTCGATGTTCTGCTCTCAAAGAATTCATTGTTGGTGAAGTCACAGTCACAATAAACGTGTAATCAGTGCCTAATATCAGCTTATCAGCCAATACCACAAGGTATGGTGTTTTTTGACCTGTGTAAATACAATTAAATTTTATAATATGACTTGTAATAAATAAACTAGTTGAAAAACACACATGAATGTGAGTTATCATTAAACATAAAAATTAAACTTAAAAATTTGAAACCACATAATAAAATAATGATACAACAGCGGAAGTCACGTGACGCTGCTGGCGCATGCATGACTGAATTTCTCGATTTATCGGGAACTGTGTGTATTTTGGAGAAGCCTCTTTGTTAGTATATAGGCCTGGTGAGAAAAGCCAGTGGAGTTAAGCGAACAGTAGTTACAGTGAGGTTCGGGTAATTTACGATTCTGTTACAAGCTAGTGTGTGTTTTGCACTCACTAAGAAGAACGAGAAAAGAAACAAGAAGAGAGACAACAGCAGTGGCAGCTCAAACAGCACAATAAAAAAGAGAGAATACAGCAGTTGTTAGATAAAAAAAGAATAGAAAAAGAAGAATGAGAAAGAAAAAAGAAGATTACAGCAGTTGATGGAGGGAAATAGAAAAGAAACAAGAAGAACGAGAAAAGAAACAAGAAGAGAAACTACAGCAGTTGATTGGGTGAAAAAGAAACAAGAAGAACGAGAAAAGAAACAAGAAGAGAGACTACAGCAGTTGATGGAGGGAAAAAGAAAAGAAACAAGAAGAATGAGAAAAGAAACAAGAAGAGAGACTACAGCAGTGGTTGGAGAAAAAATAAAATAAACAAGAAGATAGGCTACAGCAGTGGTTGGAGGAGAAAGAAAATGAACAAGAAGAGAGACTACAGCAGTGGCAACTGGAACAAGAAAGGAAACAAGAAGTACAAATGGAAAAGCTTAGTAAATTTCAAAGTGAATTAAATACATTAAAGGACGATTTACTGTCTTTTACACAGGGAGGATATATTAGCCATGGACCTAATCAGCCCCAGACAACAGGAAGCCCTTCCAGACCCTGCAGCTAAACCCTAATGCAGACATCTTCAGTCCTGCCAGAAGTCACATTCCAGACATGAGTGTCAGCAATAGGGGTGATCTAGTATGGAAGAAAGCCATGGGAATTCGATGGGTAGGCACCATGGGAAGCATATAGAGCACAATTTGAGCTCCAGGCAGAAATGAATGAATGGATAGACAGAGGAGCAGGAAGCAGTGTACCTGGCAACGAGCCTGAAGGGATAACCACTGGAAATATTTGGACAAGTTGTTAGCAGATAACAGGCACAACTAGAGAGCACTGGTAGCCACTCTATAAATCAGATATGGAACTCAAAATCAGTCCAAAGTCTACAGGGCTAGGTTTAGGACGAGAGTCCGTGCTAAAGGGGAGAGCCTGCAAGAGCTGGCACAGGATTTGGAAAGTATGGCACACAAGGCCGACCCAACTACATCACCTGATATCCTCAAGCTGTTGCTGAGGGACCAGTCTGTAGACGCCTTGGTCAGTCCACAACTGAAGATACAAGTGAAGCAAGCACACCCCTCTACTATGCAGGATGCAATGGCCAGAGCTCGTGAATTCGAACTCTACGTTAAGTCCAGCACAGAGGTACCAAGGTTGGTACAGTCATCAGGATTCAAGGCCAGAAAAGGGCAGCTTTCAGAGAAGTTTGAGAGACTTTGCTGGCACTGTAACAAACCTGGGCACAAGAGAGCTCAATGCCAGGAACTTCACCACAGGAAAGATGCCACAGCAGCGAAGGCTGTTACCCAGAAAGGTTGTTGGAAGTGTGGAGAGCATGGACATATGAAGAGCCAATGTAAGAAGAATAATAGCAATAAGTCAGCCTCGGGGAAACCAGTAGTGGTTGATGTTGAGGGATGCCCACCAACCCCCATCATGAAAGTCCCAACAGCTAAGTGTAAAATGGCAAGCACACATAGTGTCTACGTGACAGGAAAGCTGGATGACCAAAAGTGCAACTTTGTCATAGATTCTGCATCTCAGCCAACCCTTGTGAGTAGCAAAGTGCTAGATGAAAAAGGAGTACCAGAAGCCATATGGAAGCTCTGTTGTATGACAGGACATTATGCAAGGTTGTGGGGACTAGTGTGGGTAACTATTGAGCTCATGGGCATAAAGGACAGACACAAAGTATACTTGGCTGACATTGAAGACCCTTGCATATTAGAGTTGGACTACTTACTATCGAAGAAGTGTTGCTGCATCTGTTGATTTACATCTCACAGCACTTACGTCAACTACGATACCCCCTATATCAGAGAAGATAATTTGGGGTAGAATAAAATAACACCCCCAAGGAAGCCTGATGCTTGTGGAAACAGTCCAGACCCATCCAGGCCAGCAGACGTGAAGATTGGAAGGTCACTTGTGGCAGGTCATCAAGTGGTACCCATAACAGTGACTAATTTCTCTAAATGTGAACAGACAATTAAGGAAGGGGCGTTGTTGGGTGTGTGACAGGAGGTAGAGCTAGTCAATGTTAAGGTAAGAAATACAACCATAAAGAAAGGACATCCTCTCCCAGAACATTTAACTGACCTCTATAAGAAGAGCATAGTTCATTTGTCATCATCATAGGCTCTTCAGGCTAGGGAACTTTGGGTGAATTATGCAGACATCTTTTTAAATAAAGATCACGACCTTAGCTGCACAGACCTTGTGGAGCACAGAATAAACACAGGCAATCACCGTCCAATAAAGATCCCTCTGAGGAGAATAGCTCAGGCAAATCGACAAGAGATGGAGAAGGTCACGAATGGCCTAATTAAAGAAGCGATAGTCGAGAAATCAGATAGTCCATGATCAGCTCCCGTCGTGTTAGTCCAGAAGAAGAATGGGACCCAATGTTGCTGTGTGGACTTCAGGGCTCTTAACAGTATAATCGAAAAGGACTCATACCCACTGCCAAGAATTGATGATACTCTTGATGCTCTTAGTGGAGCCAGGTGGTTTTCAATTCTAGACTTAAAGGCGGGTTTCCATCAAGTGAAAATTGCCGAAGCAGATAAACCTAA